GATAAAAGAAAAATAGAATGGGTCAGAAAATTAAGTAATATAAAAATATGTAACATGAAATATATAGAAAATTATATATGCAAATACTCCTATTACTAATATCAAATAGGGAGAAATAAAATTCATTAAACTATATTTTTTTCATAAATTACCATAACCTATAAACGTTAATATAGAAGAAAAACACGAAAAATGGTTAAAAGAATTAAGAGATGCCGCAAGTGACACCTTAGGTCATAGAATTAGGTATCTAAGAGAATGAGTAAAGCAGAAGTGCATGAAAATGAAAAAAAGAAGGGGGAAAAAAAACAGTATTTACATTGCTGGCAAGCATCTAATTCATTGAGATGTAAGCCTTCAAGGAGAACAATGTACAATAAGAAAAAGAAAAAAAAATTATAAAGGAAAAAGTTTTAATAAACAAAGAAGATAAAAATATAAAAGAAAATATTATAAAAAATCCTATAATTTCAATAAAATGAGAAGATTTTTTAGAAAAAATAATTATTGTCCAAAAAGAAAAAAAATGCTTGTAAATGTTGGGCATATGGAGAAATAGGTCACTTTGCAAATCAATGTAGAAATAAAAAAAATAATAAAATGATAGAAGCTTTAGGAAGTTTGAATTATGTAGAAGAAGAAGAAGAAGTATTAGAATTGACTCTAGAAAATAATAAAGGAGTAATAGAATTAATTGAAGAAGAGATAAAAATAGAAGATGAAAATTATAGCGATGAAGATCCCACGCATAGTTATCGGCCCTCTCATACTGTAAGTATGCAAAAGCTACAGAGAATGTCATTTCAGTTGATGTCACTCCCACAATTTCAAGAAGAGGAAGATGATATTTGTTGGTTTTATATGTGCAATCCATAATTAATATACGTGGGAAAGATCGAAATAAGTCCAAACTGGTAGGATGTGCCCAAAACAAGTCTGTCACAGTCATCATGGACTCTTCACGTCGATGGCGCTCAATGTAATTATACTTGGCCAATTCACCCAATAAGTGTTGCATCTGTGATCTTCCAGCTCTCTGTACCACCCTGTTTCGATGGCGTACATTGTAAATGGTTTTAAGTGTGCTTACATTGAGGGCATCTCGCTGTTTCAAGGTTACTAGGATTTCTTTTGGCCGAACCATGCTTTTTGACATATCCATTAACAATGCTTTCTCATCCTTTGATAGCCTCCCCGCATATGAATGTCCCTCGAGGTGCTCCGCAGGTGGATGATTATGCAATCCGCATACTACGGTCAATGTCCATTCATCATGTGTGGTAAACCTGTGAGCCCTCATATCAAAAAGACAACCACACTTCTTCGTACCGGTTATTCTTGATGTATTGTTGCCATTATGTTTTAACTTCTTTGTTGCTCTATATTGGCCACTCCTCTCACAAGCAAGATACATCCTGGGTCTTTTTTTCCCTCCACCATAGTCTGATGTTTTGATTACAATGACCAAACCATTTCTCTTTCCAACTTCACGTACCCAGTTGAGCAATTCATCCTTACTTTTGAATACCTACAAAGTTAAATAAATATTATCAAACATTTACATTTAGTAAGAAATTCAAAACATAATCGTTATAATTTCGTAGACTGAACCTGTTCAGTTGTGAAATGAGTGGTGTAATCTAACACAAACTTCGCGCAAACCTGACTTCCTTGAGTTGACACATATTCCTGCATGTTTTGTATAACATTACAAATTTTTAATGGCATTATAAAGATTAATTTGCAATTTGAAACTGTAAATTTGGTATGCAGTTTGCAAATTTGGAATATAAAATGGAAAAAAAAAATTTACTTCATTCGGAAGTAGTTGTCTGAATTTTTTTTCAAATTTCGGAAGTTGAATGTTGTACAAGTTAACTTTGTTCGGACAACAACTTCCGAATTTTAATACATTTTTTGGACAGCAACTTCCGAAATTTATCACTTTTTTTGGACATCAACTTCCGAAAATACATAATTATTTCGGTAGTACATTTCCGAACAAAATAACAAAATTCGGCTCTGGTTATCCGAATGACGCTGCGAAAAAAAAAAAATTAAACTCACATTTCCTTCGCTCTGCTTCACATGAATACTTATTTGCTGATTTTCAGAAGGTAAATCCTCCATCACAATGATGTTTTCCCTACAGAAATGCCAAAGCCCTTTGTAAAAAATGAAAACCCTACAGAAATGCCAAAGCCATTTTCAAAGAAGGATGCCAAACCAGTGGCTTACACACACGATGCAACAATGTGAACTCTGAGGTGTGCATTGAGATGTTTTCAATTAACAATGGTGTCTAAAATGGTAATTTCACTTAGGGATAAAATTGTAATAAAATTAAATAACATTAAGTGTGTGTATTGAGGGGATTAGGTGTGTGTATATAGAAGCTCCCGGAGAATTCCCTTTTAAATACCCATCTAGTTTTAAGTTTAGGGCACACACAACTCATTGGGGTCTCTTTCTTTGATTTGACAATAAAATTTTAAGTTCAGCCATGGAAAACAAAAACAAGGGTGGAAAAAAGTCCAAGCTTGTGAGGCTTAACAACTCACAATTAAGCTTCTTGAAACGCCGCTTTAGCCTATTCAAGAAGGCTAATGAGCTTTCTACCCATTGTGGCATTGAAGTTGCTGTCATGCTTGTGCTTCAGCGCAACCCTAGCGTTGATGAACTGAGGCTAGGAACAGCTAGAAAGAATGAGGCTTTGTTTGGAGCTTCTATTGAGGAGCTTAGCTTGGAACAGCTTAAGGAATTGAAAGCTAAATTGATGGAGGTGAGGGAGAAAGTAACCAACAAACTGGTTGAGCTCTTGAAGGAGGCTAATGGTGGTGGTGGCTTTGAGATCGCTCATGGTTTTTAACCATGGGGAGGGTCCAAATTCCGTTTGAGTTCTCCAAATTTTACAAAAATAATAGGTGCATAGATTAAAATACAAAAAGTACGTTATGTAATTGAGATTTTATTTTCAACTATAGAGTGTACTTTTCTTTTTCTTTTTTTAATTCTGAGCAACTAATATTTTTGATTTGTGTGTGTTGCTTGGTTGCTATCGTTAGCTACTTCCTTCATTTCATTGTCTTCTTATTGATGATGTTTGTTGGGTGTAATAATAAATGGAAAAGTTCTCCTAATAATAAGATTGGCTTTTTCATGTGTTATATATTGGTATCACTACAAAAAATTAAGGTTTTAGAGATCAAAATATTAAGGTTTTAGAGATCAAAATTTAGGAATAAAATTATTTTTTTGGTACCAAATATTTTTGTTGTGAAAAGTGTCATAATTATATTTTTAGCAACGAACATTAGACATTAGTGATGAATTATTATCTTTTTGGGATCCAATTTTTTGTCTTAAAAAATAAACCATTTTGAAACTAAATTATTTTGTCTCTTAAAGTCTGATAATGCTGTCCATCCCGGGTGGATGGGTCGGGCTGGTCCAAGCTCTTCAAGTTCCGGTTCAGGGTGATGATTCCGCCAAATGACCTGCAAGCAAGTCCAAAGGGGAACGGGGCAGTCCCCCAGTGAACCCTCCGGCAAGAGAATCAGTAGAGGAAGAAGGAAATGTAGAGAGAGAGAGAGAGAGAGATAAAAAGCTTAACCTCCCTCTTGTCTTTCTATTCTTGCTTATATCCTTTGGTAATCATTTCACTGTCTCTTGTGACGTGCCCCCTCTTCCGCCGAAAGCCTGTGCCGTAGCTTACCTTGTTCAGGGGGAGGGGGCTCTGTTCCGACGGGGAGGTGTTGTCGTAATAAATGCTGTGATGGGCTGCATTAATGGTGATGTGTCGTGGTAATAACTCTGCAGATCTTTGTCTGCTGATGTGGCCTATGTTCCACCTGCCATGTGCCCGAATGCCATTGGCCCCCCATATCTAGATGGCCTCCAGCTGTCCTGGGCTTTGCCAACCGGGTTATGCTATGGGTCCCAAGCGATGGGTTTGGGGTTGTTTGCTGTGGGTCGTAAGCCTTGTGGGCCTATCCATGTAAGTAGTCCCCCATTTTCAAGTGCAGCTTTAACCCAACGAAGGGAATAGTAATAAGGAAGAGAAGTGCGATCCGAGTGGAGAGGCCGACTGGAAGCCGTGCCAACCGCAAGGGTGACTAAGCGGGAGAAGCTGACCGTGAGGGTGGCCGAGTGGGAGGGGTCGACCGTGAGGCGTGCCGACCGCGAGGGTGGCCGAGCGGGAGGGGTCGACCGAGAGGTGTGCCGACCGCGAGGGTGGCCGAGTGGGAGGGGGCGATCGTGAGGCGTGCCGACCGCGAGGGTGGCCGAGCAAGAGGGGTCGACCGAGAGGCGTGCCGACTGCGAGGGTGGCCGAGTGAGAGGGGGCGACCGTGAGGCGTGCCGACCGCGAGGGTGGCCAAGTGGGAGGGGGCGACCGTGAGGCGTGCCGACCGCGAGGGTGGCTGAGCGGGAGGGGTCGAACGTGAGGCGTGCTGACCGCAAGGGTGACCGAGCGGGAAGGGTCGACCGTGAGGCGTGCCGACCAGGACAGCGCGGGGATCGAAAAGAGAGGGGGTAGGGTGGGGCCATGTGATGATTTGAAATGGAAAGGACAGGGTAAGGGGAGGGGACAGTGCATCGTGGCCATACACGTGGCAATATTGTGGGGGAAATGAAGCGTTAGAGCAGAAATGAAACGATAGGTCACGAGGGGGGTTTTGAAAAGGCGGTTTTGGCGGTTGATTTGAAAGGTTTTGAAACGGGCGAAAATTAATGCGGATCCATGGAATACGGGTAAACCGTGGGTTTTTGGTATAATGCGTTTCACCTACCTTTTTACAAAAACTCAAAATATCCAAGTGTTAATTCCTTCATTGCGTACGACACACCTGTGTAGCATTTGCTCAACTTCCTTGCTCCTGCGTCAGAAGTGATTTGTAAGCAAACCCTAGAAATGGCACAAGAAGAAGTAGTCAATGTGAGGGTGGACCCGCTAGGAGACGATGATGCGGAGGAGCTAGCAGCGCGATATAGGACGGAGACACGGATGGCGAGGGTGGGGGTGGGGGAACCGGTGGGAGAATCGCAGGCGTCGGCCCTGATATTGGCTCCAAAGCCACTAAGCCAGGTAGAGCCAGATCAGTGGCACACTAAGGCGGACAAATCCACACTCACGGCGGCGGATTTGGAGGTTATCAAGGAACGATACCAGATTCCGGCGGAGGTGGAGTTATCGCTGCCAACATCAAGGGAAAGGCCGTCTGCTGCTAGGCCAGGGGAGTTTTCCCTGTACGAGGAGGCGCTAAAAGGTGGGCTGAGGTTGCCACTGCCCCAAGTGGTGGTTGACGTGCTGAATCGCCTAGCGGTAGCGCCGGGGCCATTGATGCCCAATGCGTGGAAGATTCTGCTGGCCTGTGCGAGTGCGTGGCCCAAGGCGATGACGGTAGATGAGTTCTTTTCGTGTTACAAGGCGTCGGGGCAGCAAGAAACTTGGGTTACCCTACAGGCGGTGATGGGAAGGGGATTGGTGGCGGGTTGCCGACATCGATTAAGGGGTGGCGGCCACGGTGGTTCTACGTGTCTGCTAATGGGGGAGTGGGGGTGCGCACCATCTGGAAGGTGCCAACTAGGTCGATGGAGTCGAGACTGGGGGCAATGGCGGAAGAGAGGGTGAAGAGATTGAAGGAGTGGAGAGAGAGAGAGAAGGCCAAATGGAACGAGCTTGTTCAGCCGTCTGCATTGTTTGAGGTGAGGCTGGGACCGCAGCCGAAGGGTGGGGACCTCGACCGAGCAGAATTGGAGGCGAGGAGAAAAGCTCAAGAGGTAGAGGATCAGGCCGTTCTGGCCAAGGCCACGAAGTTGAAGGAAGCGCGAGGAGATCGACCGCCTCAACCGATCGCGCGGGAGAGGATCCGACCGCGCCCAAGGCCGTTGCGGGGAAAAGACTTAAGCAGTTTTGAGCCGCGGCCGCCCCCTGTAGACCCTGTAAAACAACAGGCCAGAAAGGAGGGGGAGGCTCTGAAAAAGAAGAAGAAGAAAAGGAGTGCCCCAGAGGAAGCCGCAGATGAGTCTGGGGCCAAGAGGGCTAAGGTGGCCCCAACTGAGGTGGAGGTCCCTGTGGCCAAGGATGCCCCAGAGGTGGTGGAGGTCATCACAACAGTGGAGGTTGTGGAGATTGCTCTAACGGTGCAAGTAGAGGCTGGGCTGACTGAGGCGGCGCCGAGCGGAAGGAAGCAGGTCCAGAAGGGGCCTGCCCCCCAGGAAGGAGGGGTTCGTCTGGCTACGGCAATCTATCATGCGCGCGCGATGGCTGGAAGGTTGGAGGGAGAAGAAGGCCCAGCCAGGGCGGGGGCAAACCGCTTGGTGAAGATTGTGGAGGAGACAGCTCTGCGCGCGGCATCAGGATATAATGAGGGTGACCTGCTGAGGGGGTTATGCTCCGCCCAAATGGAGGTAACCACCTTGGCAGGGGCCCTCCTTAGGAAGGTAGGGGCTGCCAAGTTAAAGGCCGAAGAGGCCAAGGCCCAGTTGGCCAAATTGAAGAAGGACAGTGCCGACTGGAAGACTGCCCATGCTGATCTGCCAGCAGTCAAGTTGGAGCTGGAGGACACACGCCGTAAGGTCGTGTCGCTCGAGTTCCAACTGGCTGGCGAACAGAAAAGTTGGAAGAGTCTGAAAGGACCTGCGCCGTGGCGGTCGAGTGGCATGAAGAGGCCATGAGCAGCAATGAAGAGCTGGTCAGGCAAAAGGATGAAGCAGATTCCAGAATTAGAGATCTGTTGAAGGAGTTGGGAGAGGAGCGCGCCAGAGTAGAGGAGGAGAATGGGAGGCTTTTGAGGGAGTGGGAAATGGAGAAGGCGAAAGCGATGGCGGAGCTGGAGAGTCTGAAGAAGGGGGTGGAAGAGGAGAGGGCGACGGCGGTTGCTGAAAGGAGGGCCCTGCAAAGAGAGCTGGACGAAGAGAGGGCGAAGGCGGCGTCTAAGAGGGCGACCTACCCTGATCTGTGCGTCCCAGCAGTGGAGCAATATAAAGGGTCCCCCGAATTTCAGATGGCGGTAGACGCCGCTGTCGCCAGGAGTCTGGCTGGGCAAGAGTCTGGGGGTTGGGCCCATCAAGGAAGACTGCTGGAGGTAGGACAGAGGCAGAGGTGATTGAAAGCTTCCAGCAGTCAGACTTTTATAAGCACGAAATGGCCGAGTTCTGGGACAGCGGTTGGAAGATGTTCGAGCGCAGAGCTGAAGAGCTGTTCCCACACTTGGACCTGAGTAGTGTGACGATAGGTGAAGATGATGTGGCCCAGACCCCTCTGGACAAGGGCATCGAAGAAGAAGAGCTGGCATCCAGCGAGGAGGAATAACGAAGAAGAAGAAGAGCTGGGCATGCTCTCTGTGTGTGTGTGTTTTTTTTTTGTTTTTTTGTTTTTTTTTGTTTTTTTTTTGTAATGAACTTGTGTACACATTGTAAATGAATGAGTGAATGAATGAATGAATGAAGAATTTAATTGTAATGAATTTGTGTACAAATGTTATTTTGTTTATGTTGCCAGTTGACTGTGTGGGCCTGTATTGTCTAAAATGAATGAAGTCTTGTTATAAAAACTGGTCATAAAAATTGTGCAATAAAAATTTCGTGCAAAGTTAAAGTTAAAAGTTCCTCCCTGCGGAGTGCGATTGGAGTTGTATGAAAATTAAAAGGATGATAGTGGTTGATTGAAAAATTGGAGTAGGAAATTGTAGAACAGAATATTAAGTACGGATGAAGAATCCACGGATGAGGACAAAGGGTAGGTTGCAAATTGTAACTAAACAGTTAATTGTAAACTTGTAGAGGAAAGATTGGAGAAATAAACTGGGTGAGGTGGTAGATAATCTGATTAGTAAATGAAATACGTGAGAGCATGTTTGGAATTTA